GAGCAAATCAGGTAATCTTGCTGTCACCAAAAACAACGACAAAATGAAAATTTCGAAACAGCTTCTTTTAATAATATAAAAGACAAAAGGCCAAGCATGTGTTTGCTTTCGATAAATTCACTTCAGGCCTTTTCCTTTGTATAGTTATGTAACTGAGTAATATGCCGGTTGGTATAAAAAATGGTGCGGCTGTCATGGTCGGGGAAGAGAGCATCGTAAAGGATGCGTTCGGTTATACCGGCATTCACCATTATCGAGTATACGCCGTAATTTTGCCGGATAATTTTCCGGTTTACCGCTCAACGGTGGGAGGTCGCTTATTTAGTTTTCTATTATAATCTGACGTTTTAGACCCTCTGCCCGCAGGCTGCGAAGTATGTTCCTTCCCGACAATATCCCCGCATTTAATGCTCTCAAGCATCCCTTCAAAACAACCGAAAGTAATTGGAACATGCTTAGAATACATCAAGACATGCTACTACATTTTCTACGTTGGCTGCAGGTGTCTATTACGCACTGCTTGACGGGTTTCAGTCCAGATATACACTAAAGATCTTGGTCTGTGCATATAGACATTTAATATACAGATTTTTACTACAAACAGAAATTATTTTTAAGAAAACTAAAACGCTGCAGTCTTTACTAACTAACAACTTAGTAAAATTGCCAAAATTAACATTTAGAAATTAAAAAGATAAATTGACGATCATACGCTTTCTTTTGATAAATTCGCTTGTAGCCGGTTCCTTTATATCACTATTAACTTAGTAAAATGTGTGTGTCGGTAGAAAAATCGTGCGTCGTCGGGGTCGCAGGCGGGGGGAGGAGGAGGGGGAGCAAAATTGTGGTCACTAATATGATCAACGTTGCGGGGCACTGGCCGCCAGGAAAGTTAAGGGGCCTCGGTGGTTGCGTTGACAACTTCCCGACATGGAAATCGCGGCGCCTTAACGAAGTTCTTTAAGGCGAACAGGACTGGTTTGCATAGGCTGATTGCATCGGCGTCTGCTGCAGCCATTAGACGGACTGTTTTTCGTTTAGGGTAAATTCGACTGACTGGTACGTCCGACTTATACTTTATAATGACACAGTCTTAATGTGCAGTATGGCGAGTCCTGCATGCAATTTTTCATGATAAAATTTAACCTCGCAATTGAGCATATATTTGGACAGGTTATTTTGAGCAACTGAGTGGACTTAGTAATTAGAAAGGCTTTAGTTTGGAAAACTGCCCTCTAAGTAAACGTTATGGAGCGAAACCGGCATAAATTTTGACTAAATCATGAGTAAATCTATATCGATGGACTTTCATGTGCTATAAGGTACGACAGAAGCAAACTTTTTATTAATATGCATTGTACTATGGTAGAATTCTGAATTAAGTCAAAAATTAGAAAAATTATCTCTTCTAGAACCGGAAAATTGTGTCCGAAGTTGCCCAAATGGAAGTGTAGCCAAGTTTAAGGAATCGCATTAATTTTCAGAAACAAGCAACAATTTAAGTTTTAAAAATTATGTTTAGCTAACCTGTGAAGGTTTTTGCACAAAATGCAGTAACAAATAGTTTGTCGCGTTTTTTTACCGCACGGCTCACATTGGCAAATAAGCAGAGTGCGCGCACATGTTACCGCGAAGGTAATGTAAAGAAAGCCTTATTATATGTTAGTCATGTATAAATATACTTTTTAAAACTATACATTCCGTTTATGCGTTACTTAGAAACGGAGCAGACAGAATAATAATAAGTAAGGCCAGTCTTTTTGCACCCTAAAGATTATAACAGATCCTGGAATAAATCCATTTAAGGGGAGATCATCCACTATAAGGAGAAAAGTAAGCTCTTTCACCTCCAGTCAAACTAAATCGTTTTTCTTCAGGTCAATTAAAGAAATTGTCAAAAAACTTCAAGTTCATTGTGACATTACATTGGAAAAAGTTAATTAACACAGCAATTCGTCAGCTTATAAAGAGGTTACCTATAATGGAAACGTTTTTTAAAGTAAATCTTAGAAATAACGATACCCGAGTTACCTTGCGGACGTTCTGCATGTTCGACAATGTAGTTTGCTATTTTGAGGAATTTCTAAATATGACCCACATGGCCATCTTCATAAGAAATAATAGTTTAAAACTCATTTTTCGGTAAGTGCTCTGTATTTATATCTTATTTTTAAAAGTTTTGATGCGAATGTCCAACAGAAGCGCAATTTACCAATTTATCAATGAAGGCACTGAAAACGTTTCAAATGATGCCAGACTCGATTGGACGATATTCAATAAATGGATATCCGCTAACGGTTACATGTACGACATGAAGAAATTTATAACACTTTTTTTCAACTTATGGAAAGATTGAAATTTATTGTTCTAATTTATAACTATTTTTAGGTCTCCGGAACGTGAGCATTATCGGGAAACTTTTATTTTTCTTAACAAACACTTAGTGTTTTTATAGCTGTCTTATATACTTAATATTCCTAATTCTGTTTATTATTATTTGTAAGTTTTCTTAAATCCGTTCTCGCCGGTATGCGAGTAATGATCAAACTTTTCATACTTAGGCATGTTGCATGCAGCACTTGCCTTACTGTTTGTACATGTAACCTACGTCCATATGCAACACAGGTTCATATCACCAGCCACTTAAATCAAACACCCTGGTTATTTGGCGGTATAAAAGCACAAACAAAACGATGGGAAAGAAAGATAACACCAGCAATATATTCTCTTCACATTTGCAGTGTTACTGGCTAGAAGCAGCTTAGCTGTGTTATGTATTTCTGCCTACAATCTTGGCGAGACAATCGTGAAGTTGAATCAGTAAAGGAGCTAAATATTAATAGTCACTACTTGTAGCACCAGCTGACGGAATGAAAGGTGAGGCCGCATTTTATTTCAATTTTCATTAACAGACGCTAGGGCTCTTGCTACTGGAGAATCCGCCGTATTTTTTTAAATTCTACGTGCAACCATTTAGACTAGAAATATTTTAGCAACTAAAGCGTCCTCACACACTCTGTGGTTAGATAACGCAGATCCATGATCCGCTAATTTATACGTATACTTGCTTAGGCACATTCTGTCTGTGCATAGTTCCGACACCAACGAACTATAAAGGACTGTGATATAAACATGGTCAAATATAAATTAAGCACGAAAAACGCAAGGAACACATACCGCTTGATAAGGAGATCGCAAAGATCTTTGTGTCCGCACGTAGCTGCAGCATGTAGCGGCGTCCAAAGCTCCTTGTCGGTTGCATTGACGTTGGCACCGTGGTCGAGCAGGAGTTCACTCATGTCGATGCTGTTGTTGATGCAGCACTGGAAGTTTAAAAAGACGTTGCGTCAATGCTGACCTTCCAGCATACCTATATCTTTTCGAATATTTGATAGTAACTAAGTGTCTTACAGTGTGTTGATTATAGGGATTCAAGAGAACGAAGTTCGAACGCTAGAAGATAGAAGTGACTCAATTATTTTTTTATTCTCTTTCTCTCCCCCCCCCAACTGTTCATATTTCTTGAATCTGATGACAGTTTCAAGCGTGAATACCTTGTTTCTGCTAAAGATCAATCGTTTTCTTAACAGTTTTATAATAATTACTTTTCTCTTGTGTCTTTAGTATTTATATTGCAAAGTTAAATTAGAATTTTCTTGTTGAACTTTTGACGTTTTTACATTTTAACAAATTTGCTAAATTTAATTCGTGGAGAATTTTTATACCATAACGTCGAATGTTCATGTGTTCTTTTATGCATTTATAAATTATTTTTCCTTTCATAAAAAATGTGTCACCCCGTATTAAGTACTAGTTGGAAAGCAAAAGGAACTTCTAGTCAAAATGTTTGTCATATACCAAAGTAACAAATTATTCTTTAGAGAACTCAGCAGCTGCCTTATAAGCGGTGATATTGGAATCGAAAATTCCATAAGAAAATTATACAAGACAAGCAGAGTGACTCCTTAGAAGTGTCGGTTCATCAGCGAGGAAATCATTGCGTCCAATATAGATATTTGTAATAGACGTAGACGTATGTAATGTATGCTAACCCAATCACAATTGCCGGTCTTGAAACTGAAGGCGGATTCATTTTGTTCTCTGCCAATAGAAATAACTGGCTTTAAAAGTCAAACCAATATGTTTGGTGTAACAGTTAATGCCACATGGCATCCGAAAATCGCACTACCCATCAACTCTGAATGTTTAAAATATACAAGTATATTCTCATATATTTCATTTCGAGAACAAACGAAAATAAAGTAGCCTTCATTTCTACATAGGAAAGGCTTATTTCTTGAACCTTTGTAGACGGATATGTACACCTAGCATGAACTTGTTCTCTTTCGAAACTTTTCCCGCAGAGTTAAGTCATCATCTTCGCTGACAGTGTGACGTAATCATAGCGACTGAATCATCTGAAAAATGTGTGGATCTCACCGTGGGAACAAGGTACAGAGGAGTTTAATTTTGCATGAATCCGATGGTTGCGTCGAAACCTTAATTGTGTTAAACACTTTCATAGTACCTGCAGTCGCCGCATCGTGTGGACTCGCCAAGACAGTCAGCCGTCATTCCTAACGACAAGACGTCGCCTTTAGCTCTTGGTGTTATCACAACTGCGAACCAAAGAGCACAAAATTCACCGACATCTTCCTATCGTCCCTGCTACTGCCAAACTATCATTATTCTCTTAGCTAAAACAAAGAAGCTCGTTCTGACACCACCCTCTTGAAAGTTATGCCTTTTTTAGCGTTTTTCCGAAGTCTGACTATACCGAAGGCCTCACATTGCATGGCCTGAATGGGGATATTTGCATAATTATCATATCCGGTGAAATTTTGTTTTCTATAATTAAGCGAAGAGGGAAAAGGCATATGCTCAGATCCACTGGTTGCGGACAGTATGCCAAGCAAAAGACTTCGCTAAAAGGTCTCTCACAAAATCCTATTCTCCGTTTGAAACAGTGGAAGTCTGCAAACTTTGGCCCCTTTCAATATTTCCAATTGGTTGTGAAAAGGCCACAGTTTCAAACAGAAGCAGTATAAAATTATCAGATCATCAGATGCCGATATACAGGGTGTCCCAAATTGTAAATAAATTGTAAACTTGTTGTTTTACTATTTGTTTTACTATTTCAAAAACGAAAACATATTTGCAAGCGTCATTTTATTGCTCTTTTCACTGCATTTTGATTATTGAAATAGTGACTGAATTGAGAGAAGCCATTGAACATGAATGCACCCGAATACGAGGGGAGTTATTTAATGGTGTGTAATATTCCATTGCTTCGCGTTGTCGGCAGTGTTATGATCAAAATGGACGCCAGTTTGAGAACATTCAGTGATGAAGACAGTAAAACGATACTTCTAAATATTTTTACATTTTTTAATAATCAAATTACGATAAACACCAATTTTACAATTATGTAAAATGTGTATACATCTTTTTGGGACACCCATGCAAACAGAAAACATCAATTACCAGAGTATTACGTCGTCGATCATAGTAGAGGTTCTAGTATAGCGTCAGATCATTTGGCTTAATTTATCACGTGATTAGATGCAGTAAGCGGCTCTCAGAATGTGGCCCCACTTAGCGCGTGACCTAGGATAGCTTGTAGCATCAGAAAAATATATACTTAAAGCAACGCATTTACGACAGTACTCTTGTTGTAAACTTATTAGTTCCTTACTTGTTACCCGTTCCTTTTGGAACATCGTGAAACATTTTGTTCAAGAAAGTATGTTTCTGACACTAAGTACTCACTTATTAAGAAAATCGTTAAAAAAACGTGTAAGTTCAGGCTACACGTAGATTCTGCTAAAAATATAAACTTGCTTCAGACTATCTCTGCTGGCTTCAACATACATTCTCGTAACGCGGTTGATTTACATGGCAAGTTGGGTTGCCTCTATAAGTCTGCTGCCCAGTGGCATACGAACTGTTCTTATTGTTGTTGAGAGAAATCTTGGTTGTTTTTGCGTATACAAGGGAGGGGGGTGTGGCGTGTTTAAGTGAGAGTTAGCGCCGCACCATCCGTCTGAATTCTCTCCCACCTCCCGCCGTCGTCATTTTCTCATAAAAATGGATCCAGTCGGGAGGGAACAGAAAGTGGTACGCGAGGGTATTATTACTTTAAACTACTTCGCTCACAAGTCACTACTCAGGCGTATGTAAAGAGTTGAACCTCACTAAATCCCAGCGGTTAACGGCTCCCGATTCCCAACTAAGGCTGACGAAAAGACGCGTAGCCTTTAAAGAACGAAATCCCTTACCCTAATCTAACGACAACGCCCTGCAAGTTAGCGAAAGGACTTCGTTAACGGAAGACCCATATTTCCTTACCCAGCCAACGTTCTGATTGCATTTTCTCCCAGGTAACCGACCGGAGGTCCGTTTATGTGATAAGTTGAAAGAGGAAAATTGGTTAATTTAATTGAAATTCACCTGACAAAATGTAATTTTTTTTAATTAGCTTCCCATTATTATTATTAATATTGACATGTTTTCCTTTTTGTCACCTTTTCGTCAAAGTTTTCATTCCTCTTCCGCTAAGAAAGTGAACAGTTTACGAAGTAAGGATCCTTTTTAGTGTGAACTTCTGTAGCTGCTGACTCAAAGATAATCATCGAAGATATTATTGTTATTACTGCGAATAAGATAAGGGGGCAATGTCTCGGACAGCACTTGTATTAGTTAGAGCTTTCAGACTCATACAGGAGGCCACCTTCGGAGAGAATGAGAATAGAGCAGGACTTTGCATGGTTTGTAGACCAGCTAAGAGCAAAAGAGGGGCTGGGAGATGGAGTAGATTTATTGACTGGTTGAATCCAACTTTCATTTCGTTTCAGCGTGTCACCTCGACATGCGCATTTGGGGTCATGGCGTGCGTTCTTGGATAGAGACTGGACCGTGCTTCTTGGCCGCAGGAACGGAAGGCCTAAGAAGGGAGCATTATAGTTTTGGCAATATTGATGGAATTGAAGTCTGACACCCAGACAACCAGTAGTTCTCACCCCGTCTTATTGCTGGCTCGTGCCATTATCCACAGGCCAGTGAAGTTGGATTTGCGACCTTCGTGGGAAGCGATCTGGGATAGTGGGTCGCCTTTCTGCACTGCCCGTTTGTGTCGCATCATTTGCGAACTAAGTCGTCGCCCGCTTTGGCCTGTATAACAGCAAGAACATAAGGGACATGGCACTTGATATATGACGCCAGGCTGCTTATCTACCTCCAGGCAATCTTTTATTGCCATGGTCCGCGAATGCATGGCAGCTGTCGCACAGTGACTTCTGCAGTGATAAATTCCGTTGCTTCTGACACATTTACGGTAGAGCGTGCCAGAGTGCTGCGGGCTCTCATCCGTTTGATCCCCATGGGTGCATACGGAGCTGTTCTGGTATCCATTCCTTGTCAGTTGGTCCCGCAGATGCTGTAGTTCTCACACTTGTCCGTTGGGTTCAGGCAATGTGTTTTGACTCTCTGCTCTAAAACAGCCGCGTTAAGCGCCTTTGGGCGGTTACTATGGTAGCTAATCACCCCAGTTGTATAAGTCACCCTTAGATTCACTTTTGTGCTGAGGTCTACATTGGGTCGATAAGGGCGGCAGAGAACGGCAGCTGTTCGGCATTATCTCCTTTACTTGTGGAAGGGATGTCGAAGGAGATACCGTTAAGCAGGTCTTGTA